CATTAATAAGCACAATAGTTCGAACGTGAATAATGATAACTGCTGAATCCCAGAAACGCATACAGAAATATTCAGGCTATCATTAATAATCAATTTTATATCTATAATTCTCAAAATGTAAGTGTGATCGGATATTTCATCCGGTTTCGATGAAATTTTTTTGCTTGATAATGCCAGTTTTTCAGTCCAAATTGGCAGGAACGAATTACAACCTTGAAGGTGAAAAATCGTAAAAACTGATTTTTTTTTTTTTTTTTTTTTTACACTTTGCACAAACATGAAAGGCAAAAATTAATGTCTGAAACAAAAGCTTACAATCAATTTTCGAGAGTTAAAATCTAACGCAAAGATTATTAAATTATTAAAAAAAATATTACAAAAAAATTATCGTATATCATTATGACGTTCCAGGAAAATGTTTGTTCCTTGCAAGATTGAGAACGCAAAAACGGCCCTTTTCAGGGCCCCCACCCCATTCAAACTGTTAACCTCATTTGGGATGTCTCTGTTGCAATTAATTGTTGTTACTCATATCGATTTTCGGTTGGACAGACTTTAAACTTAAACTGCTCCAATTGAACGGCAGAAGTTCCTAGTAATGAAACACGCGGCCGAAGACGGGTTATACTAGTAAGCGATAAGAACATGTTAAAAAACCACATTAATGTGCACATAGAGATGGACAATCTGTACGAAAAGTAAATATAATTGAAATCATGGAAATACAGAAAGTAAAGTCTTCTATTCATCAGGGCTGAATTTTTTTCATAATGAGAGATTCATCGTTAAAAGTTTTGAAACTTTCAGCTATTAACGAAATAATGTCCTCGTTGTTTGTCATAATTGGATCGCGATGGAAGTTTCTTTAATTCGAGATTATAATGGTTTATGCATTCATTTTTGCGTGTGTGGTATGTTTGTCTTCATATGTAAATATGTGTGCATGCACCCATCTATAAATATACATAATGTGTCTTGTTGTGTGAGCGCCCTTTTCTTACATTGTTTGGCTGCAGAATAGGTAGATTGAGTGCATTTATGTATGCTTGGGTTTTGTCATGACTGACATCGTTCACATTTTAGTGTCAAGTTCTGCATGTAAGGCATATATACATATGAAAATTAAAACGAGTGCCATTAAAACACCCAACATATGTGTGTATATAGACACACACACATAGATATACACACACACACACACACACAACGTGTGTGTGTGTATATATATATATATATATATATATATACACACACACACGTTTACATGCATATATATATATATATATATACATACATATATAAATGTATACACACATTCGTTTATATATATATATATATATACACAATATTATTTATTTATATATATATATATATATACATACACATACATTTTTATATATATATATATATATATACATTTTATTTATATATATATATATATATATATATATATATACATTTTTTTATATATACACACACACACACATGTATATATATATATATATACACACACATACATATGTGTGTGTGTGTATATATATATATATATATATATATATTTATGTTTCACACACACATATATATATATATATATATATATATATATACACACACAATGTGTGTTCACATATATTCACACACACAGTGAGTGCATATAATCAATCGTAAGTAATTTGGTCTTGCTTTTTGTGATTTTTTATGCCAATAAATTATGCAGTGTTCATGTTGAATGAGAGTGATTTTTGTTCTCTGAAAGAATTCCAGGCTGTCTCATTCACTGCTAACTGTAATTCACCGAAAGGTTAGATCTTACGCACACCTATTAATCGATTGCACTTAGAAAAGTGATTGTTGCCCACCCATTGAGATCTGGGATCGAAGCGTAATCTTATATTGCCTTCGATCTACCACCTATTCATTATTTGAAAAATTACGTTACCACAACACATACGTATTTTGATAATCACAAATATATTCTATTGCATTAATAGGAAAATTCCAAGAATGGATCTTTCTCTCCCCATATTAATTCTTCGTTCTTTTTCTTTTCTGTCTAAATTTATATTGCTCATTTTTTTTTGTATATTCTTTCACGTATGTCTTTTTCCGTGATATACTTTTATTTTTATTATCATAGGCTTCTTACTTTTCAAATTATCACTAAGTGCATCCTATTCTTTTACTCTATTTTATTTATCTCTCTTAATCTGTCAACCTTTCTCTGTTCCCCATTCTTCTAATATTCCAATGCATATTCCCTTTTTGTTCCTAATCGCTATATTCATAAAAAAATTCAATTTCTTTTTATTGCATTTCTTTTATTTTTTTAGTCATGCTTTTCTATTATTCCCCCTTTTTTTGGCAACAGTTTTTTATTTTATTATCATGGCTATCCACTTTCTCTAAATGTTTTATCTTCTAAAATTACGGTCGTTGTGTTATTCTTCCTTCTTGGGATTATAAATTCGCTCTAAAAATGTCACATTTATTAAAAAAGAGAATCCTAACCTAGACGGAAAATTCTTGAGAGTGCCGCTATCGAATCTTAGCAGAATATAAATCTGAGCCCCAGATTTTAAAACATTACACCCTGAGTCAACATCTTTTATTTGTCGTGTCCATTCAGGATTAAGCGATTATGCCTTCCATTTCCTCCTGCGCCCCTTTGTAGCTCTCAATAAGCTTTGACGTTTTGTTATTTCTCCCACGCTGTTCGGCCATCCCACTTGCTTAAGCCCAGCATTAAGTATGCCACATGTTTCTTTCCTTTTCTTTTACTCTATCCGCCCTGTGAGTATCTAATTTTCCAAGCCCTCCTTTCTCATTACGTGTCCCAGAAATTTCAGCTGTCTCTTTCGATGTTAAGTATGAGTTTACTTTTCTTTGCATCGTCTCAGAACCTCATCGTCGCTAGCATGTTCGGTCCATAGTATCCCTCATCATCATTCTGTTGAACCACACCTCTGCTGCCTCGAGTCTCTTCTTCATCATTGAGGAGACACCCCAACATTCCTGGTCGTAGACGAGGACAGATATCACGTAGTAGTTCAGCACTTTTTTTTTTGTTACTAGCGAAACCCTCCTGTTTCGTAATACTCTGCCTAGCTTTTGGAATACCTATTTGGCTATCCCAATAAGTCTTCGAATCTTTTCAGCGTTGCACTTACCGGGTCCTCTGTCTGAACATTTCCCAGATATTTACCCCCACCATCTGCTTGATTTTTAGTGTCTCGACCCATAAATCAGGCGCATCTTTTGCTGATGACCACGCATTCTGCTTTGTTTTAGTTTATGCTTCGTCAATTCTTCTCACTTTCTTTTTTGCTATCTTCTGCAGGAGGTTTTAAGTTTTCCTTTCCGTGTTCCTATCAGCACAGTGTCATCTGGCATCTTATGTTGTTAAGATTGTGAACGCCAACAATGAAGGTGGCCTATTCAGTTCTTCTCCTTTGTATATTTTAAATTTGCTGAGAAGAGCCATCCTTGTTTTACGCCCTTTTTTATTTCTGTATATCTGCTGAACTCATTTTTTTTTTATGCGTTTTGCTGCCAATAGAGGTTTCTGATTATTCTAATATATCTGTGTTACTGAGCAGCTCTAACTGATCTTTGTGGCGTACTTTGTCGGTCTACTTTGCGTACATGCCTCGTAATGCGCATTACGGGAGTCCGGCTACGGCAAGCAAGAAGGCCCGCTCGACAAAATTACACGCACTTTTACGCACTTACCTTCAAGGCGCATTACGGCAGTCCGGCTACGGCAAACGAAGGCATTCGACGAACTTAGGCATTTAACGATTGCTTACGCATGCCCCTCGTATCCGCGTAGGACCGGCGCAAACGGAGGCCATTACGCATTATGCTCTTAAGGCGCATTACGGGGGAGTCCGGCTACGGCAAACGGAGGCCTTCTACAAAATTACGCACTTTACGCACTTACCTTCTAAGGCGCATTACGGGAGTCCGGCTACGGCAAACAGGGGGGCCGCCTTTCTTACGCACTTTAACTGTAAGGCGCTTACGGAGTCCGGCTACGGCAACGAAGGCCTTCGACAAAACTACGCACTTTACGCACTTACGGGGCGCCCGGGAGTCCGGCACGGTAAACGAAGGCCACCGACGCACTTAGGCACTACTACCGGGTAGTGGTCCCAGTGGTCCCATCACCACTGTCCAGGCAGGCACGACACGCGTCCGGCTACGGCAAACGAAGGCATTCGACGAACTTTAGGCGTTTAACGATTCTGCGGACTTACGCATCGGAGCAAGCTATCAGCTCGCTTGCGGCAGTCGGAAAGCGAACGAAAGATCGTAGCGCTTCGTCATCGCTTTGCTGTTCGGATACTTGCGAGATGATGAGGCATTCGTTCACACCCCAGTCAGTAACAGTTACATCCGCCAAGCTTACCTGACTTTGGTCGGTCGGTCGGTTCATTTGAGAAAAATCCGTGCCAGGCAGTGCGGAAAAGGTGCAGAAAGGTGGCGGCAACGACACGGAAGCTCAATCGACGATTTCAATTGTGGTTCGAATCTCATTTCTCGCAACAATTCACGTGCAGGTTTTAGCTCTGTCGCCGACGGACTTAGCCATAGCAGGCGCATCCAGGGAGTGAGCACGCCGAAGCGTCGTTCAACCGCGTGTGGACGTCGTGTTGAACCGCACAGCAAGCGGACCGTTCCGGCGCGCAGTTTGTCGTCGGTACAAACCGTCCACGTATTTGTTGAAACGGAACGATGATAAAAAATAAAACCGATATTATCCTTTGGTGAACGAACGCTTCGGAACACGTTGGTGTTGTTCTTTGAACGAAGTCAGCGTCGTCCTCGCGGAGGACAGATCGAGTCAGTCGAGAGGGCTTAGTCTCAATAGATCACGGTGGTGGCTGCTCTACCGGTAAACACGCCCGAGCCTGAAGTCAAAGTGGTCTACGAGCGATCCCTCGTCCATCCACGGGGTTCGAAATTCGACGGCGACAGCAGAATCCCGCCTGTCGCGGATGTCAAATCAGGTGGCATTTGCGGACGCCGCCATGATGCGAAGCGACAACAGCCAAAAAGTAGCGGACGCACAGCGGCGACGACGCCGACGCAGACCACGACGGCCGCGACCGCCCTAGCGACGACGACGCCGCTATAGCGAAGCGGAACGAAAAGAGACGCTTCGTAATAATACCGTGACGGCACCGGTCGCGGTTCGGCGAGCTTTCAGCCGTTATCGCAGAGCGGCGTGGCACCGCCGCTCGTTCCGAAGGCGACGCAGAACCGTTGCTCCGATCGCAGTTCCTCTACGTACTGAGACGGGATAGCCGGCCCAGCACGTGACGTAACTACGTGCCGATCGGTGGGATAAAACTAACCTGTCACGACGGTCTAAAGCTGGCTCACGTTCCCTGTCGGTGGTGAACAATCAACATGGCGAATTCTGCTTCGCAGCTGATAGGAAGAGCCGACATCAGGAAGGATCAAAAAGCGACGTCGCTACGAACTTGGCCGCCTGACCAGTTATCCTGGTAACACCTACGGCACCTCTCGGCGGAACGGGCTCTCTCTCCGCTCCGGAAGGATCGATAAGGCCACGCTTTCGCAGTCCGTATTCGTACCGAAATCGAGATCGACGACTTTTGCCCTTTGCTCGCGAGGTTTCGTCTCTTCAGGCTGCCAGGACACCTGCGTTACCGTTTGACAGACGTACGCAGTCAAACTCCCCGCCCGGCACGGTCCCCGGCTGAAAAGGGTCGAGCGCGAAGCCCCAATCGAGAGCCCGCGCGCCGCCAGCGCTAGCAAGAAGGGCCTCGGCGACCGTCCCCTTTTTACGGGTGAGCGAGAAACGACGGAAGTGTGCTCATTTTCGATCATGGGCCTCGACAGGTCGCGGCGTCGTTCGTCACTACCTCCCCGTGCCGGGAGTGGGTAATTTGCGCGCCGCTTTCGCGCGGATGTAGCCGTTTGCTTTTCCCTCTCGATCGACCCGATTCCCATTGCCGTATTAACCACGGTAGCAGGCATAACCGATAAATCGACAGTTGATAGGAGGCGGACCCTCGAAGAGACCCGTCGCCAGGCGTGAAAGCCAGCGTGCGATCGACCAGTGAGTTATCAAGTCACCAAAGCGGGCGCGCCGCCATAGCCCCGCCGCGAAACGCCGCCGCCGACCGCCGCTCAAAGGCGACAGTGACGACAACGACGACCGAGCAGAGAGGAGGACGGGAATAGCGCGCATCGGTCTCCAGTAGTCTAATATGTAGCGCCGCGACCCGCGCGTTGACTGGGTGCCCCGCGTGAGCGGCACGCAGGCGACGGCGACGCGCCGACGTCGCAGCCTGTGTCACATCGCCGTAGCTCTAGAATTGCCACAGTTATCCATCGCCTCCGGGAGGATTACGGTCCCGAGTTAGGTCAGTTCCTGAGCCATTCGCGAAGATTCTAATGCGTGGCGTGAACTACACTTACGCGCTGGCTTAAGCTTTGAGACAAGCATATACTGGCAGGAATCAGCAGGTGGCGTTTCTTTTCGTGCGCGCGTTCATCTCTCTCGCCAGCAGCAACGGCGAAGACGGAACGCGAATCAGAAAGGGTGCGGGGCGCTACGCTGCGACGCTGCTTTCTTTCGGCGGCTAGTCTGGCGTGCGTAAGACGGAAGAAGCGGGTCTTTGACACCATCTAAGCAGCAGCGACGGCGGCAGCAGCGGCGGCGGACCTCCGGCACGATCGTTAAAGACGTTTCATTTTACGGCGCTTTTCGTCTTTCGCGTCGTCCACACGGCGCCAGCGTGGGGAACGCGAAGTCGGTGATAGCCGAAGGAGAGACGAAGGCTAAGGACGCTATGCAACGACAGCCACGACGGTTTCCTACCAGGCCGAAGGGCGAATAACAAGCAAGAAACGAGACGTTCACCAACCGGTCGGAGCGAGCTGAGTGTTCAGGAAGGTCGCCATTTCACCGACGAGCTGTGGCCGCGTGTCTCGCGACGAGCCGGCCAGATAATTGAGTAGCAGACAAAAGGCTGCAGCGGCACGAGCGGCGGCGGACGAGGGCTACAGCAAGAAGGCGGTCGGTATTGTTAAGATGAAGGCGGCGACTTTTAAAGGCTTTCGACTGCGCGAGACGGTGACTGGACGTCTAAATTGCGTGGAGAGCCTAGACCGTTAGCGGACCGAAAGTGTGGCGAGGCCTGCAGAAGGCGGCGGCGGCGGGTGATGGACGAACAGACGTTCGACGTCCCGGAAATCTCCACCAGCAGCATCACCACCCGTTGAACGGGCATACCACACGGCGATGTGACGGCGGCGGCGATGAAAGAACCTCGCAAACGGAGAAAACTGCGGTGTCTGTCCGCGACGAACGAGGTACTACCTCCTGACGGAGGCGGCGGCGGCGGCGGCATCGCGGATAGAGATGGCGATTCGCGATATTACGTATCTGTTCTATCGCTTCTGACGCGTAAGCGAGCAGCCAATATCGCGGGAAGAACAGGCACTGGCGGCGGCAATTCGATCTTCGTGACCGACGAAACGACATCCTGGAGGCGGCGGGCAACGATGAAAAGTGTCGCGGGCGCGCGCGCACACATTAATGACAGCGCTTTCGGTCACCTCATTCCTGATCGCATTACAAACGAACAAGTCCGATTCGAGTACCGAGTCGCAAGGACGTTCGACGCAAGTATCGATCACTGAAGCGAGCGATTGAAGGACACAAGGATTACCGATATTCCTTCGACCGAAAATGATCTCCGGGTTGACATGCACGACGGGAGTGCGGACGGTAAACGACAAATCGACAAGCACGGACCAGACAAAAGGCAACGGACGAATTTCGACCAGGGGACAAACAGACAACCGCAACATCGACGAGTAGCTAACGGCGATAATACGGCGATGATGGCGGCGGTTATGGCGGCGGCGGCGTTATCGGCGGAGTGGTGGTCTGGACATAGCCGGCACTAGAAGAAACACTGGACGGCGGCCAACCGGCAAAACGCACGCGCACAAAAACGACCGTCAGAAAACGCGCGATGTTTCAGCCGCAAAGGCGGCTGTGTCAGGGTGGCGGCGGCGGTGGTGTCAAAGGCGGCGGCTGCTATCGTTGATGACCATGCGAACGCGTTCACGGATGAAAGATCAACCTTGTGCCATCAACCGGCGAACGGAAGTCGAAAAAGCCAGTCGAAAGATTCTCGGTAGGAATGCGGTACGCGAAGAAAAAGACGACGCACGAGTGTTGGCAGCATCTGTACCCTCACATCTGCCTGCCGAAAACACGATGGGCCTTTACGATGTACGGCGAGCGATAAAGGGTTACATCTGAAGCAGAGACAGATGCGGCGAGGGAGCGAGCCAAGAGGTTTGTCCTGGGAGTAGAGCATTCGAACAGTTCCTATAGAGACCGATAATCGCGAGAGAAGGCGGCGGCGTTCTCCTAGGAGGATTGTGCATCACGCTTTCCCATTTCCGAAGGAAATGCTTGGCCAAGGCGAAATCGACTCAGGCGGCATGACGGCGTTAGAGAGCGCGGGTAAGAAAAACAAAAGAAGTCATGGATGTTGTTGAGGCAAAAGCGAGAGAAAACAAACATAATACGCGTGGCAGCGAAAGGCTGAGGCCTGCCACCGCGAGGCGCAAAAGTTGCTGCCCCTGCGACGCTAACCGGACAAAGCTCGAACTTCCTACCAACTTATTCTTTGAAACCTGTTCGTGTAACAACCTTTGCTTTTTGCAAAATTTCATACCATTTAATATGAAAACTATAAAAAGCTTAGAAATGACATAAAAAACAATAATCAATAGGTTTAATTTGAAATTCGAATTTTATTTTTTAATTTTTTCCAAAAATCGAAAATCGCAACTTAGTCAAAAAAATTAATTTCGCCGATCACTGCCGAGGCGGGCGACGCGCGTCGGCTACGGCAAACGAAGGCCTTCACGAACCGCACTTACCTTCTAAGGCGCATTACGGAGTCAGGCTACGGCAAACGAAGGCCACCGAAATACTTTAGGCACTAGTTCGGGCCAGTGGTCCCATGACCACTGTTCAGGCACGACGATGTACGTCCGAAGCTATTCGGAAACATTTAAGGCCTTACGGGACGAACATGCTCGTAGCGCATTTAACGATTCTACGGGACTTACGCACATGCCCTAAGGCGCATTACGAGTCCGGCTACGCAAACGGCGCCTGACAAAATTACGCACTCCTGATACCTTCTAAGGCGCATTACGGGAGTCCGGCTACAGTAACGAAGGCCACCGAACTTAGGCACTAGTTCGGGCTAGTGGTCCCATGACCACTGTTCACAGGCACGACGCACGTCCGGCTACGTGTAAACGAAGTATCTGACGAACTTAGTATTTAACGATTCTACGGGATCCAAGCGCACATGCCTCGTAATGCGCATTACGGGAGTCCGGCTACGGCAAACGAAAGGCCTCACGGACTTACGCATGCCTCTTAGGGCTGGGGTCCTTACGATCGGGGGCC